TGTGTGTGTGTGTGTGTGTGTGTGACTCTACATTTTGGAAAAGGAAGTGCTTACCTTTCATCAGATGCTCAGAATAGCCTGTGTTTCCCTTCTTGGCTGTATTTTAAAAGCCCTTCATAGTGTCTGCACTACTGGAAAGTCACCTTCAGGAGGACCTGTCTCCTTCACGGTTATATCCGCAGAGCCTCAAACAGAGCCTGGCCACAGTGGGTTCCTCAGTAACTCTCTCTTTTTTAAAAAATATATTTTACTGATTTTTTAGAGAGAGAGGGAGAGAGAGCTAGAAACGTCGATGTGAGAGCGAAACATGGATCGGCTGCCTCCTGCACGCTCCCCACTGGGGATCGAGTCTGTAACCCAGGCGTGTGCCCTGACTGGGAATTGAACCGGGACCTCTCGGTCCATGGGAGGATGCTCAATCCACTGAGCCACGTCGGCTGGGCCTCCTCAGTATCTCTTAAATAAATAAAGGGGGTACTCTGGCCCTGCCATGTAACTGGGGCCTGGGTGAGCTCGGGATGGGCAGCTGGGTCCCTCCTCCTTGGGGAGCTCCAGGGCAGAGGCCGGACTGGTCCTCCAGGAGCCAGGGGCTCTTCGGGAGAGGGGCTCAGAGTATTCACATTGGATCTGCCTGAGAGAAACAACATTCAAGGGCCTCTACTCTATTTAATCTATTGCTGCGAGACAATTGCCCCAAAAGCTAATGGCTTAAATCAAGTTGACTGCAGTGCGTGATTTTATGGACAGGAATGCGTGCAGGCACTGCGTGGCTGGTGATCTGTCCCACGTGGCCCTGACTGCGTTCACTTGATGGCATTCAGCTGCCAGGCGGGCTGCCCCTGAGGGTGCAGGAGCGCCTCCCTCACAGGTGTGGTGGTCTCAGCAGGGACGGCTACTGGAGTGCTTGAAGCTGGTCTCTCCAGCCTGGCAGCCTCAGGGTAGACAGACTTTCTCAAGGCAGCTTGGAGTTCCCAGAGGCTGGTCCAGAAAACCAAGGCAGACGCGATGGCAAGGCTGCTTTCAATGGCTTTGGAAGGCACGTAGCATCGCTTCTACCGTGCCCTAGTGGCACAGCAAGTCACAAAGCCAGCCCAGATTCGAGAGAAAGGGACAGGAACCACACAGGGGCGTGGCTGCACTTGGGGTGGGGTGGGAGCATCTGTGAGGACAAGCCACCACAGCCTCCCTCTGCGCTGGGCTGAGCGACACAGCCTCAAGTCAAGGATGCTGGACGGTGCTGGGAGAAACCCAACAGCCTCACACCTTGGACTGGTTTTCCCTGCAACAAGGATCAAAGCACCACTGACTGCCCCCAAAAAAGTTCCAACCGCTTGACCCTCCAGCTAATTTAACATTCTATTTTCAGCCCAGCTGGTGTGGCTCAGTGGTTGAGTGTCGACCCATGCACCAAGAGGTTGCCAGTTCGATTCTGGGTCAGGACACAGGCCCAGGTTGGGGGCTTGATCCCCAGTGGGGGGGGTGCAGGAGGCAGCTGATCGATGTTTCTCTCTCATCAATGTTTCTATCTCTCTCCCCCTCTCCCTTTCTCTCTCTCTAAAATAATCAATAAAAACATATTTAATACACATACACACACACATATGTATGTGTGTGTGTATATATATTCTATTTCAATACTTTGTCCTAGGCAAACGCTCAGGAAAGATACCATGTTCCAAGCATTACTCATCACATATTGTATCCTTACACGCTTATTATTTCATCCAGATCTGTGACTACTTCCTTTTTGAGACCTGCAGACGCAGTGAGAGAAGGGTCTCTTCCTGGTACCACTGCCCAGCTTCCTTCAACCTTCAAAGCCCTCAGCCATCTGAACGTGCCCGGGAAACCGGGCCTGAGAGCTCGGCAGTGGCCGACTGTTCTGGAAACAGGCGAGAACAGGGCCATTCCCCAAGTGCGTCTAGTTGCTCCAACCCCATGCAGGGTGGATCTCAGACTCAACCTGAGGGAAGAGGCTGGTGGGAGGGACAGGGGCACTCTGGGAAGGCAGCTGGGACTCAGGGCAAAGGGAGGGAAGGTGGCCTCCGGGAGAAAGTCCCAAATGACCTCACAGATGTTAGGACTCCACATGGAAGCACTTCTTGGAGAACTGACCACCCCCTGTAAAATGTGGGGGCATTCGCTTCTCCTTCTTAACAGACGTCTCCAAAGTGAATAGGTTCAATCAGAAAGAGCTGGGTTTGAGTCCTAGCTGGGTCACCCTGGAAAAGCTCTGAGTCTTCTTGGTAAAATGGGAAACAATGTTGTCTGCCCCACTATTGGGAAAAATAAACGACAACTGCATCCAAAGTACCTAGCACAGTGCGTGGCACATAACAAGTGCCCAGTGACGAGTGTCTTGGGTATCATTGTTGGCTGGTAACCCCAGCAGCTGCCTCCGACCCCTGCCGTGCCACTCCTGGGCCCAGCGTAGAAGGCTGCTCCGGACGAGCTCTGGCCAGTGGAAACGCCATGACAGTCAAAGATGCACATCAAAAGTTTGTGGTAGTCTCATTAAACACGGTACAAAGAAACGGGAAAACTTAATTTTGGTGATATATTTTATTTAACCCCATATATCAAAAATATTATTTCAACATGTAATCAGTATAAAAATTAGTATATTTTACATCCTATTTAAAACCAAGTCTTCAAAACTGGTGTGTACCTATGCTCACAGCACATCTGGATTTGCCCCCCTCCGTTTCTGCACTCAGTGGCCACCTGTGTCCCTACCGGACAGCGCCAGTCTGGAGGGAGGAGCTGGTGGCCTCCCTATTGAGAGGTAAGTGGCCTGGATACCGGCAGAAATCGGCCTGCGTTTAAGAGATAAGGACTCCCTCCCCAAGGAGGACCACCTTTTCTGCAGTACTCTCCGGCTAGGGTGGAAGAGAAGAGAAAGGCAAATACCCCCCCAAAAGGTTCATTTTCCCTTATGTCCATAGCAGATTAGTAATACACAGTTATACAGAACCTTGCTTCTCTCAACAGAAAGCATATTCTTTGTTTGTATAAATAAAAAAACTGCTTTGACTTGAGCCAACAAGGCCTCACCCAGGCAGTAGGACTCAGTGAGGACATGACCAGCGGGATCAACGTGGGGGAAGGGAGTGCTGGGCGACCTGGAGACGGCCCGCCTGGGGCCCTGGGCCAGAGCGGCAGGAAAGAGAGCCCGGGAGCTGCTCTGACCTGGGCCAGCCCTGGTCCTGCAGCCCCCGGGCTCACCCTGCTTCAGAGCTGAGCGTGTGAACTTGCGCATAAGAGGTGGTGGATGAAGCTTGAAAAAGGCCCAAGAAGAGACAGAAGTTGAAGGAAACAGGATGAAATGTTGAAGAAACACCTTATCTGCTGCCTCTTGCTGATGTCAAAGTAAGAAATTGGAGATTTTTTTAAGAAATGGGACTCTGGAATATGATTTTAAAAAATCAAACAAAGACAACAACAAAAAACACCCTTGCTAGAGAGTCTTTTGAAAAATAATGTCTACAGCTTTTCAGCAAAGCGTCTGAGGTCAGTCCTGCTGGAACCCGGGACGGGGCTCTTTCCAGCCTTGGGAATCTCCATTTGCATGAATGCCACTTGGAAAGACAGGCATAAATGGCATTTGGACAGATGCCACTTTGCACAAATGGAAAAGAACCGGGCCTCAGTGGCTCAGTTATACAGAGAGAGTGTTGTGGGAGCATAAGAATGAGGAACATTCTAAACCCGGATTTTCTACTTGATGCTCAGTCTGAAGGAAGGTTGGCATCCCAGGTGAGGAACACTGAAACTATCTGTGTATAAAGGTTGCTCTGCAGATCTTCACCTCAGTGATAAGCAGAGAGCAGGAAATGAACTTATGGTACTCAAATTCCCGATATACACATCCACTCTTATTTGTTTCCTTTTTTTTTCTCAACATGTTGGAGAAAACATGCAGAAAGAATGGCCACAGCAGAAAGAGCTGACACTATTTTTCACGGGGCCGAGAATGGACAGGGTTCACCTCCCGGGTGCAGAGCGGGCTCACCATCAACGACCTGGGTGGCAAGTGTCCAACTCTCTAGGGCCTGGCCCCCTGCCTGGAGAAGACTCACTGTACTTCACTACCTTCTACATCTCAAAATGACCAAAACTGACACCTGGCAGAGTTGTGAGGTAGGGAGGGAGGGAGGAGGAGAAAGAGAGAGAGAGATGTGTCAGACATATCAATTGGTTGCCTCCTGCACGCGCCCCAGCTGGGGTTGGGTATCAAACATGCAACCCAGGTACATGCCCTTGACTGGGAATCAAACCTGAGACGCTTTGGTGAGAGGGTCTATGTTCTAACCACTGAGAAGCACCAGCCAGGGCTAGACATTTTCTTAAACCTTCACTGTGGGTTCAGAATCAAATAACCATTTCATGCAAATTCATTTCTTTTGACTCCCACAGGGGCAAGGTTGCAGGGGTGGGGAATGTCCAGCCTGCGGGCCATATACAGCCCGAGAAATCAATACCAGCTAACATCACAGGCTTCACCAAATTAGCCTGACCGAATATAGCAGGGTAATTTTTTTTTACTCCTCACCCAAGGACATTTTGCATTTATCGGGAGGGAGAGAGGGAAGAAGAGAGAGATAAATATCGATGTGATTGGTTGCCACCCGCACGACCCCAACCAGGGCTGGGGACAAACTGCAACCAAGGTACGTGCCCTTAGGCAGTGGTTCTCAACCTGTGGGTTGCAACCCTTTTGGGGGTCAAACGACCCTTTCACAGGGGTCACCTAAGACATAACAGTAGCAAAATTATAGTTATGAAGTTGGGGGTCACCACAACATGAGGAACTGTATTAAAGGGTCGCGGGATTAGGAAGGTTGAGAACCACTGCAGCGGAAACCAAACTCGAGACTCTGGTCCACAGGCCGATGCTCTGACCGCTGAGCCAAACCGGCCAGAGCTAGCAGGCTAATTTTTAAGTTGATAATTCTGTATGGCCCGAGAATAATGTTATAAATATCCAAATGGCCCTTGGCAGAAAAAAGGTTCCCTACCCTGGTAGAGTTTTACTCTGGCCTGAAAAATATACTTCAGGGTTCAGTGATTTGAAAACTACTCTAAGATGTTGGGAGTTAAATGGATTAAAAGCTCTAAGGGGTATGAATGTAATGTGTGCGTGTCATATGTTAAATGTCTGTTTCTTTTTTCCACCTGCCCAGGGAGGACATCCATCGGTGCTTATAAGCCCCATTCCCTCTGGTGAACGTGAAGTATCAAGTTCACTGAATTGTGAGGGGAAAAAGTGTGCAGAACGTAATACAACACAATGCAACCGAACACAACCGCAGAGAGGCTTCAGCGCTCACTCTAGAGTAGAGGTGTCCTGCTGGCTTCTTGCCTGGCCCAGAGCACCCCCCTGCCCAGTGGAAGCCCTCGCAAGGAATTCTGAGTGGGTGAGTGAGGGCCCTGGGCAAGCCAGCAGGAGAGTGAGGAAAAGGCGTCCCAGGAGGCTCCAAAGGTGTAAAAAACACAAAACCAAACCAAAAGTGCAACGAAATACCTCGGGACCGCTACCCCAGAGCGAGAGCAGCGCCTGGTGAGGGCGTTTAACAAGGAGGCTGCACGTCAGTGGAGGCGAGCAGAGCCATCCCCACACAGGACATCCTGCGTCCGTGTCTGTCTGCACACTGGGACCGGCACGACCCAGGTGAACCTCTCAAACAGGAAGACATCACAGTCCATCTCTGCAGCAGCCCAGACACCCCGGAAAGCGTTCTTGACACAGCGAGAAGCGGTGGTCTCACCATCCTTGCTTCTTCTTTCTGACACTTAGCAAGGACCTCTGCGGCCCGAGGGCTGTCTTCTCCAGCGGGCAGCGGCGGGTCTCCTTTTCCTGTGGTCACCTTTAGGCGCCCTTCCGCTCTGAGAAGACGAGCAAGGCCTCTCCAAGTCCACCGAGCAGGAGGCTGCAAAAGCGTCAAGAGGTCAGCGTTCTGCTCCTGAGAGCCAGGAGGCTGCCTGGCGCCCGCCCACACACAGCAGGGTGAGGGGTGCCCCTCGTTCTGCCCCTGGGACGCTCATCCCACTTCCAGGTCAGGCCCAGGGACCCCCCGATCGTCCACAGTACACCTCAGCTATGTGGTGGGAGGGAGCGGGCTGCGAGGTGGTTTTGGTGCCTTCCCTGGGGAAGAAGGTGGCGTGTCGGCGTGTCCGCCCAGGCGGCGGCGACCTCGGTTAATGCCCTCTGGTGGAAGCCACAGAGGAGGGCTTTCCACAGGGCAGCCTGCTGCCTTTTGTAGAGGGTTGAAATCATCCAAGTATCCATAATTCTTAACAGAATCATAAGGTGACAGTATCTGAATCCTTTTGTTTCATTGAGACCAACGGAATGTTTAAGATGAACATACTAGTGGGGAATCATGGATTCCGCGCCAGAGCAGAAGCACGGTCAGGGCTTTGACAAGGAACCCGCTGCGGGGGAACCAAGACCGTGCGAGGACGAGGAGCTGAATACTTCAACCTGCCTAAAATGCAATACGTCCAAAGGTCTGCGCATTTTCTATTTCCAACTTCTCCGTAGACAGTCTGGTGTCGGTCTGAATCCTGTCCTTCCCAAAAGGTATTTCTGAGGACTGGGCTGGGCGACCAGGAAAGGACTGTGATGGGGAGGGGATCCCCCAACGACGACATGCTCATGTTCAGGGAGCCGAAAGCCCTTTCGATTCTACCCGTTCCTCCCTTAGACCCGCGCACAACACACATGCCCCCTGGCTCGGCGCCTTTACAGTTCTAACATCTGTTTGGGGTCCCGCGTATATGACACACATAGGCTGTGCGCATTATCGTCCCAGTGAGAAATGTCCCCCCATGTGGGTGAGTCTGACATAGGCCATAACTTGTACCATTTACCAGCTTTAGTGTAGGACTAAGTGCGAGACTAGAAAAACAATAAACAGTTCCAATAAGGGCTCAGGCATGTATTGGCTGTGTAGTCCCGCGCACGTCATTCAGTGTTTCCTGTACCACCGGAGAGCACGTCTAACAGTGTCTGCGAGGCTTGGACGGCTGTGCCTGCAGCAACTACCCCCTGCTTGGCCATAATGGACAAGCAGTCAAATATTTCCAATGCAGTCCCCTCCCCGAGCAGCAGTGCCTTCCTCACTGGCCCTCACAGCTGGCCTCCCCGCCTCTGCTCGAAGACCTCCCGTAGGGCACATCCCACTGGGCAAAGCACGCCTGCCCCGCTGCCGAGGGCTGAGCCATGGATGCCAGCCCATCGGCCCTCTCACCCGTGGGAGCACCAGGCCCCTGGCGCCTCCCTCCAGGAGGAGCCCTTCCTCACACTGACCCAACAGCTGCTTCTTCAACCTCCTCTGTGAGTCCAAGTTCTGCTTTCTGAGCAACAGGGAACAATTCTACACCTTCGTCACCCAACTGTCAACCCCAGAGAGTGGGAAAATGCCCTGAACCACCGCCATCTCCTCTCCTTGGAGACTAACACTCCGGGTGAGGGCAGAGAGAGGCGCTCGGCGCGGGGGAGGGGGCCGGGAGGATGTGCCCCGTCAGGCCAAGGACTGGGACGGAAAGGTCTGGGGCATGAGGAGACGTGTGCCCGGCGCCAGGCCCGCATGTACTTTTCTCTTTCCTACAGAAATATTATAGCAACAGTACGTCAATAAAATCTCTTTAAATACACATTTAATTCACAATACTGTAGGCGAAGCTGGTGTCTACACTATGAACCAAAGAAACTTCTGGCGACCTCCTTAGATCTACAGTCATTGTTTATAGGATTGTTTCTGTGTGAAACTGGGGTCCAAGTACCAAAAGACCATATTTTGAAACCTGACACGTTTGTGCTTGTCCCCGGCCTCGTTCAGGGCCCAGGCGCTGGAGGATTCGTTCGTTCTACTGCCTCTTCTCTGGATGAAGAGGCGGTGGTGAAGGGAAGCCGTTTATTTTTGTCCAGAGGCTCACCTCTAAAGGCCTGACTTTTCTTTCAAGCAGGTGTGTTGTTCCCTTCAGCAGTTCTTAAAGGATGTGCCCGCCATACACCGCGGTCTTCCACACCTGGGCCAGGGCACAGTGACCGTGACCCGAGGAAAGGGCCACACAGAGCTTTGGGTTTGGGAGGGTTTTACTTCTGCACATGTAACGGGGGGCTCCCTGCTTTCTACAGTTCCCACTGATCCTCCTTAATCAGCAGGGAAAAGAACAGGCTCTCGGCCACTTTTCCTCGCCCAGCCTTGGAACATGCTGGAGTGGAATAACCTTGTATTTCATGCCTTGGCCCAGCTGTTTTCTGAAACACCAAAGCAGCGTAGTGAATGCTGAACTGAAAACAAACCTTGGTTCAATTTACTGTTAAGAGAGCCAGGGAGGTGAGCTTTGATGTTGTTTTCTAAACAGCAGGAGAAGCTGACGGGTGCAGGAATCTTAATAGCATTACAACTATTTAAGCCAGAGCTTTGCAGAACTGTTTGCAAATCTCGTAATCCCCATCATTCCTGAAATGAACAACCCTCGTGTAACTAACGTAAACATCGGAGTGCAGCGCATACCCAGCCAGAGATGTTCATCACTCACTCCGCTTCCAGGCGGTTATTTTCAGCGTCTCTCCAGTCCTTCTCTTTTCTCTCATCGGGTGCCAAAGGCCCCATCTCAATTTTACATTTATTTATTATTGTGGTTATCCAGTGAATTCCAATTGAACCCACTAGACGGAGGACAGAGACGCTATCCTTTTCCCAGCTGCAGGCCCAGCACGTAATGTAGCATCCAATAAACATGCACTCATGAACGATGTGTGAACGTAAAAGGGCTATGTAGTAAACTCGACAAGCTCAGTGGCCAGAGGGCACCACACAGGATGGTCTCATCATAAATTCCTAACTGGGAAGGCCATGGTGGGTAGGCACATCCCAGGCCCGGAGCTTCCTTAGTGAAGGTCATCTTTTTTTTTTTTTAATCCTCACCCCAGGACATTTTTCCACTTTTTGTTCAGGTAGAGTGGAAGGGAGAGACAGGAAAAGAGACAGAGAAACATCAACGTGAAAGGGACACATCGAGTGGCTGCCTCCCACACGACCAACCAGGGCCGGGGACAAACTGCAACTGAGGTACATGCCCTTAGCAGAAACCGAACCCGGGTCTCTCTGGACCGCAGGCCAACGCTCTAACCGCTGAGCCAAACCAGCCAGGGAGCCAAGGTCAATCTTGACCTTAAGTGAGCCCTGTCCACTGTTCTCATGCATCTAAGATAACATACCTTTGAAATGTCAGAGTAACTTTCTTGTCCAGACCCCTCAAAGGCATAATGGCAGGCACCAGAGCGAGACACCACAGAACCCTCACTGTTACCTTGTTCCCCCATATACCACCTCTATGTGCTATAAATGCTAATTACTAACATTAACATAATTAACATTAATCATCCTGCACCCACTAATGTAAAACAAGTATGGTACTCCATTTTGCTTTCATCTAATCCTAGAAATTTTCCCACTGTGCTTTCTCCCGCCGCCTTAACCTCCCACCAATGGATTTCACGTACCTTCCTTCCGTTTCCTCCTTTGATTCTAAGGCATAAACGGGACTGGAACGCTGCCATTCTCGGGAGCATTTTCTCCGTCTGAGGAGATCTTGCTTCTGGGCATGTCCTCGAATTTGGCTCAAGTAAACTCTTGTGAAACTTTGCTCTAGGCTTCGATGTTCTTTCGTCAACAATGGAATTCTTAGACTTGCTCCCCTTTCTCCCATGTATATTTCAAACTATCTTCCTCACCAAAATATATCTGCCTAATATAATGTACCATCCCACTGGGGACTAGCTGAGTGACAGTTCATAATCTGATGAATAACTTGGTGCTGAGAGATAATATACAATAGTTATTTAGAAGGTCCTTCTTAGCATTTTAATTTTTTTTCTTTATTGATTTTAGAGAGAGAAGAAGGGAGAGGAGAGAGAGAGAGAAACATCAATGAGAGAGAACATCAACTGGCCGCCTCCTGCATCCCCCACACTAGGGATCGGGCCCACAACCTGAGCATGTGCCCTGACCAGGAATCGAACTTGAGACCTCTTGGTGCCTGGGTCAACGCTCAACCACTGAGCCACACCAGCTGGGCCCCTTCTTAGCATTTTAAAGAGGAAATTTCACATTTTAAAATCTAATAGAAAAACTAAGTTTCAGATGCTGTGATGCATTTTGCAGTGTGTTGAGAAAAGTTCCTTTTTCACCCTTAAATTCATTCTTCCCATCAACAGACTTGGGCGGTCTCTATGCAGACCCCTGAAGTTAAAGGTTTAAGACCTCTTTACTCAAAGATGCTATAAGATCATTTTCTAAAGACTCTTGGTGTTAGTGAGGTGTGTTGTGCTGGGATCAAGTTCAAGTGATCCTCATATTGGAAACCCATGATCATGGCAGGGTCAGTGAATGCCTGGCAAGGCTAGAAACTGATCACGGAATCCTGACAACAAAGTGGCTGTACTTTGGTTGTTCCTCTCCCTCCTTGGACCTAAACCATTCCAAAGACAACAGGGTCTCTCCTGGGCTAAGAAGCACTCAAAGAGGAGGCACCCACAATTCGTTCTACTCGACAGGGTATGGATTCAATCCTCTTCGCTGGAATTTTGGAAGAGGGAATTCATACCAATACATACCATGAAGCTCTATTAATTTAAAAAAGATGAATAACTCTCAATCTGGATATTTAAATTACTGGGCTTGCCACAGACTGTTTTTATAAAATTAAAAACAAGATCATTCGCTAGGCAAGAGCAGTTGCTTTTAGTTAAAGACGTTAAAAGCTGACTGACACTGGGCACTTAGATTTTTCATTTTTCTCGGGTGTGTATTTAGGAGGCTGGCCACCGGTTTGTTGAGCAAGCACTCAGTACGAGGTGGAGAGATGCAAAGGTGGACAGACGCGGCCCCGCTCCTGGAGGCGCCCACAGGGGCCT